AAAGACACAGAGTTACGACGGTAACCTGATCATTCCACTACTTAGTTTGTTTCTGTTCACTTTCAATTCCCTTTGTATTTAATTTTTTGTTTTTTGTTCTAATTTTTCTTATCTACGTTAAAGGATAGATATGATTATGTTTTAATAAACCCAACACAATCCCTTACTGTCAGTGGAAAGTGGCTAAACGTGCCCACATGCATGCTTCCAGGTGCACAACCACACACCACACACACACACACACACACACACACACACACACACACACACACACACACACACACACACACACACACACACACACACACACACACACACACACACACACACACACACACACACACACACACACACACACACACACACACACACACACACACACACACACACACACACACACACACACTCAGGAACACACCTCATCAGCCAAGGGCAAGCTGCCAAACCCCTCACACTCTGTCTGTCTCAGAGAAAAGCTGTGGATTTGTTGAGGTGCACCCGGGTGCACGTCACTATCACAAAGCCTCCAAAACAGACTCAATTCATTCTGACATAGTCAGCTGCACCAGTCTTCTCTGTCCAGTGCCAGTTTAAATGAGGGTAAAGTCCAAAACCCTTTGCCAGATAATTGTAAAAGTGCTCTAACACTGTCTACTGTTAGTAGAATAGAATCGATCTTCCTACACAGATGTCTTATTCTTCTTTTAGCTAGTAGTACTTTATGTAATGTAATACCTTAAGATGGAAAACAAATGTACATGTTTTCTTCTCCAAGATAAAGTTTTAGTTAGAGAAAAATATGTAGGTGCTGTAAAGAAATGTACTGTCTTCATTAGTGTTACTTCAACAGCATGAATGTAAGGCATCGCAGGTTAAATGTTGACCATAGTTCAAACTTGACTGAAAAACAACTAATTAACCCAAGACAGTGTATTCTCATTTTCATTACAGTTGTTATTAATAACTCCGGATGCTTTCATTAAGCTGTCTGCAAGTAATTCATGTTTATGATATAGGAGAGTTTCATGTCAGCTGTTAACTGGACTGTAGTCCTGCCATAAAAAAAGCAGGTACAGGATGAGAATTGCAAGGTAAAAAATATCACTTTTCCCTTGAGATATTTCAGACATTTATAAAGTTTTAAGATACATTAAGATTCAATTCACTTTTTCAGAAATGATTGCCTTTTCCAGCAAGCCCCTTTGCAATTTAAATGTAAAAGAATTGTTCTGCGACGAAACCTTTCCTAAAGACCGTTATTTATTTGACCGCCTTTTAAAAGCTGATCTACTTATATTTTAAACGTTAAACAGCTGCTACTGTATTGAAGCATGGTTTGCCCTTTCCAGTGTACAGAAATCTGCATCTGTTCGGATGGGCAGCCACTGGCTATTTTTTTTATTTATATGCACAACCACCAATAAAGTTTTACAAGTGTAAAGATTCCACATCTCCCGGGTGTGCATATGTATGCAAACAAGACTCCATTACCACAACTTGGCACCTAAACAATATGGAATGAAACTCACAGTTTTTTCTGTATGCAAGTCTTATTATGCAAAGTGCGTTTGGGATCAACCTGGTAGAGCATGGGTGTCCAAACTTTTTAAGCCGAGGGCCACATACAGAAATATATACGAAGGGCTGGGCCACTCACTAGAGGTGAGGTATATTGCCTCATAAATTCAGTTATAAGTTAGCAAAAGCAATCAAGTGTAGGTAAATTATGCTTGGATACTTGAAAATGCCTGGAGAAAAAAACTATAGGTTACTTACGTAACCCCAGTTCTCAGAGTAACATGAAGTGAGATGTCTCACTATGGGATGCGCCTCATCGCGGAGCAAACAGAAGCATCAATCTCATTACGCCAATCCTGATTGGCTGGTGATCTTGACGTCAGCGTCAGGGAATTCACCCCCTATAGAGAGGCGAAGTCCCTCCCCTTCCGAAAGTCTCCATGGGACCCCGGAAGCGGAAAATTCTACATTGAAGTCAATGGAGAGAGAAAGGTTATCTTTTGATCCCGTTTGAATTGTGCCACGAATGACACATATGATGTTTGTCAATTTAAAAGAACATTTTGCAACTCAAAAAAATAAAAATGTGTCGTAAAACTGTGAAGTTACACATTTTTTCGTGTGAAACCGCTCAGTGAACTACAGGTCTCTCGTCTCACACAATACGCGTCATCAACATAAAGATGGCCGTCACGTTAGCACATTTCACCACATTCTTTCAGAATGAGAATAAAAGTATTTTACGAGGTGAAAATCACTACAAGTCTGGGCACGTTGAGAAGGGGACTTAGTCGGTTCTGTAAGAGCCAGCATGCGGGACCGGCTTTAAAAGGTTTCGGTGAGTAATATGAGTGCAATGTGTAACGTTAATGTCAGCTAGCTAACATTAGCTAACAAGGTACACTAACGTGTTTTGTTTTAGCAACTAGTTTTCTCCTTAAGAACTTTGTGGTCTCTGTGTATGCTGTGGATAACATTAGTGTTCACAAGAACAAGGTACACTCCCGTGTTTTGTTTTAGTTGCTCTTCAGATTGAAGCGGACAGTTTTATATCGACTATACTGTATGTGTGATCTCCTTTGTGTCATTTGAGTTTATTTGCTGTGTGTAGATTCAAGGATTTTGGTTATCTTGTCAATTTGTTTGGTTATCTAGACACAGCTGTGTGTGACTCCCTCTGGTACACTGGTATGTGTGTTCCTAATGTAGAGAGCATTGATTAATTAAGAAACTACACACTGAGTCTGGATCCTGATCAAATCCTTTTTTTTTGTTGATCAAATGTTTTTCAAAATGTATTCATACACATTTAAAAAAATTAGGGCTGTCAGTCGATTAAAATATTTAATCGCGATTAATCGCATGATTGTCCATAGTTAATCTCGATTAATTGGAAATTAATCGCACATTTTGTATCTGTTCTAAATGTACCTTAGAGGAATATTTGTCACGTTTTTAATACTCTTATCAACATATGAGTGGACAAATATGCTTTATGCAAATGTTTATTATCATTTGAACAATGACAAATATTCTCATGAATATTAAACACAACAACCTCATAGGTAATACAGAAAAATCAAACAATAACAACAATCAGACAAATATATGGAAAAATAAACCCTCCCACCCCCAGATCCTGACCATCCTTGTATTGCTCATTCAATCTATTATAGCATGCTAACAAATGGTACTTACTTTATTTTTACAGATCTGCATGGGAGACGATGGCGCAATGCAGACCGCTTTCTGTGATTGTGCACGGGGGATGTACAAATGCAGCCACGCTGCAGCATTGGCAATATTTGCCATGTGGCAGATCAGCTCCACAGATGTTGAGTGCCAGTGGAGGAAGCCTGGCACTTCCAAAGTAGTCCAGCCGGTGTCTCAACTCTATCAACAGCAAGAGGAGACATACAACCCACTGGCCAGGGACATCGCCACTCAGGATGTAGACTGGTTCAGGTCTGCACTGAGGGGCACACAGTGTGGCATGGCATGGCTTTTATCACCTGAGCCAGAGCCGCAGCCTCAACATCAGGCCATTGTCACCGTGCCAGAGCTGGTGAAGGAGCATGGGGGTCGGGGGCTTGAGGCAATTCTTGCCTCAATGCGACTGACAAGAGACCAGCAAGCTGCCATCCAGACAGCCACCGTAGGACAGCGGACAAATCCCCAGTGGCAGTTACACAGACAGGGCAGGTTGACAGCCAGCAATTTTGGTGCTGTGCTGAGGTCGGGACTTTCATCCACTCCATGCGCGTCCCTCATGAAGAGGGTGCTTGGGGGTTACAATTTAGACGGAGTCATGGCTGTCAACTGGGGAGTTGTAAATGAGGCCGAAGGGGTGAAGGCTTTTGTGCAGGCCTATCGGGTGACAGTGATCGACGCTGGTCTCTTTGTGAGTGAGTCGGGTGTTTTGGGAGCATCACCCGATGGACTTGTGCAGCCATCTGCCCTGCTGGAGGTGAAGTGTCCACACAGACAGAGGAACATGACCATTGCGGAGGCAGTCCAGTTACCATCCTTCTGTCTCCGTGAGGAGGGTGGGTCTTATGTTCTCAAGGAGAATCACCCATACTGGCACCAGGTCCAAGGGCAGCTGCACATCACAGACCGGAGTATCTGCTATTTTGTTGTGTGGACCACGAAGGAGGCGATCATCATCCCCATCCCCAAAGACCCTGCATGGCATGGAAATCTCCTCCTCCTGGAGAACTTCTACACTCAGCATATGCTCCCTGTGTTGGCCAGTAGAGAGGAGGACATATAAATAAACACACACACACACACACACACACACACACACACACACACACACACACACACACACACACACACACACACACACACACACACACACACACACACACACACACACACACACACAAGATATTTAACTAATAAACAATAAATCCAATGTTGTTGGAAAAGTAATAATGCTGCATGTGTACGTTTTTGTTCAAATATAGCAAGTGTTATCGTGTTATGTGTTCCTGATATCGTGCAGCCCTAATATTAAGGCCTTATTGTCACATGCACAATAACTACAGTGCAGTTTTGGGCAATGAACATGTTAAGTCTCAGGCCCCTCTAAAATAAAGGATATTTAAGACATATAAATAAATAATTACTTTTACTGAACTACTACATAACTGTATTACATGGTTATATAAATAGTTTGAATGATTCATGACTGACAGAAGCTTGTGTTTACACTGACCTGTTATACTCATATCTTTGTAACTTCAGTAAACCTCACAATTCCCCTTCTGGTTTCATGCATCACAGTTCAGTAAACTGAGTAAAATATGAACCAGGGTAACCATTATAATAACTTAGGATTGTAACTCTTTAGAAAAGGTGTAGGTGGCTCTTAAAAGAGCCGTTGTGTGACTTTGGGCTGGTCTCAGCGGATGCAGCGGGCCAGCTGGATGTTCCCCCCCGGGGATCGCAGGCTGAAAGGTTTGGGAACCCCTGGCTTAGTCAACGGTGAGGGTGCTGGCTACTTCCTTTATCAGGGGATTTTGCAGGTTCACCAAGGCACAGCAAAGCTGTACCAGCACATCTGCAGTGTTCCTGAGGTGGCAAGGAATCAGGTCCAGAATCCTGAACTCCTTTAGTCTGGCATTTTCCCTCTCCACATGGACCCTGTTCTTGGCTATTTCCCTGGTAGCTCTCACCTCACTCTCTGTGAACTTACCCTTGTTCAGGAAAGGGGGAATGTTCACAATCACACCCGCAGGCACAATATCAGATATTAAGAAGCCCTTGTCTGCCAGGATAAGGTCGCCAGCCACTAAATGTTCCAGAATGCCTGAATGCTGCATAATGGCCTTATCAGACACAGAGCCCGGGAAGAGTTGGCTGCAGAAGTTGATGACTCCATTTGGGGCCACAGAGATGAGCACTTTGAAGGAGTGCATCCCTCTGTAGGTGGAGTATGTCAGCTTGGCTTGGTCCATCTGACTTGGGGCGGCCACGTGGATGTCGGTGCAGTCGACAATCATTCTGCAGTTGAAGGCAGAGGACTGGAAAGCAGCAGGCATGCTGTTTTGTTTTTTTTGCCTACTGGGCACAGTGGACATCATTTTTTTGAACAGCAACCTGTGGAGCAGATGGACCATGGTGTTCACCACATTACCCACTGTTGCGGTACTGCAGTGGAACAGCTGTGCAAGGTGCAGGTGAGGATAATTCTGCCGGATCTTCATCATGGCCATGAAGACCTGGTCTGCCAGCAGGATGCCCTCCACTTTCCATCCAGCGAAATAGACAATGGAGCCCTCAAAGCGCTCCACCAACCCCGCCACCCTTTTAAACATGGCCTGATCAGGAAGCCCTGTTTCCATACGGATTACATCATCAGGTAAGCCTGCTGCTGAATATTTGGCCATTCGCATCCAAGTATCCCCTGCCAGGTCTGCGGAACAACTGGACTGCACACTGGAGGGTCCAGGTTCGGTGTCTGCGGACTGCACGTTGGAGAATTTGGGGTCAGTTTCTGCAGACTCTGGCCCTTTGCTGTAGCTGTGGTCGCTGGACTGATTAACCGCTAAGCTCCCTTTCTCTTTGGTCCACTCAAATACAGTTGGCCCTTTCTCTTTTCCATGAGGAAAATGGCAGCTGCATATTCGGCTTTTCTCATCTGGCTCCCTGTCTGCTCGTCTACAATGAGAAAATTATATAATTCATTACTAACAATCATTTAAACCTGCCAAATAGCCCCCCTACCCATAGTTTAAACAGTCTGCACTCTTGTATTTATATTGTGAAGCACTTGTAACATTCAGCTTGTATGTGTTTTAGTTGAACCCTAAGTAAGACAGAGCTCTTAAGGCCAAACAGTGTGTTTGGCCTTTTAAGTGTGACACATATGTAGGGATAAATGCTTCACCTGACCACTGTTACTAAATAAAAAAGGTTTTCTGCATCGTCCGTCATTTTTTCCAAATAATTACCAATATTTCACAAATTCTTCGTGTCAATTTAAGAGCACAGCTGTATGTTGACTATGTCAACTTTGCTTGGTTCATCTTACTGGGGGGCAGCTACATGGATGTCGGTGCAGTCCACAATCATTTTGCAGTTGAAGGCAGAATTAATTTATTATTGACTCAGAATGAAGCACAACTTCATGTCATACAATACATTGACTTCATTTGTAATTGTGTAAACAAATAAAGCATTGATTAGCAAGCAGGACCTGCAGGAACAGAGAACGGTGATGGGTGGAGCTGGGAAGAGAGAAGAATAAAGAAAACAGATCAACTTTATTATCGGATATTAAAAATTAAATTTTCAAAACAAGTTGCCGCTCCTACAGTTTTCTAGTATGTAAAGATGATTTCACCTGACCTATGCAAAATATCACACTCAATACATGTGTGTCTCTGGGGGGTGCAATGTGCCTTTGATATATATAAATAATATACCATAACCAAATACGTACATGTATATGTGCATGTTCCTCAACGTCTCAGCAGTTACAGGTGAGGTAAATAAAATAAAAGAGAAAAAGGTCAGTAACAACACTTGAAAGTAACAACACTTTGAATAATTATCTCTTCTAATAATTTTCTCTCAGTAAGCACACAACTACTGTCTTTCCAACAAACAGATTGACTCACCCTTACTGTCATCACAATGAAACACGTCCAGAAGAATGTCATGCAAAGCTACCTGCCTGCCTGCCTGCGACTCTCCCTGACTGCTTCCTTAGCACCCGGTGGATGGCGCAGTAGGCTACGCTTCAAATGTTTCACGAAATACTTACCATCATGACTACTCTTACTGTTTAAAATGTTGGTTTACTTCATGTAATAAAATAATAACTTCATGGTAAGGCTACTAAAAATGACAAGGCTAAGTAAAGTAATGCTAACTAACGTGCTCGCTACTCGTCGCTACTAGCTAGGTAGCTAACTTGACTATGCACATGAACATGCACAACATGTATATTACCTATGATATTACCTGATATGTCTGATCCAGCGACTCCTGGTCCTTTCATCAGACGGGAATCGATAGAAGGAGCAAGTGGTATGATCACTTGTATGACTACAACCTGGTACAAAGCACACAGGCATCTTGTAAAAGTGAATTTATTTTAAGCGATCTATAATTTATTGAAGGGAATAAATCAGTTATGAGATCTTCTTCTTCTTCGCTTTAATTACGAGTCTTATTATAAATCACCGAGCATCCCTGTGACATCACTTACGCGACCCAGAATGGGATTTGGGATTTATAGTCTTTGTAGTAGCGTATTTTTCATAGTCTTATATTTCAGCAGTTTTACGACAAAATGTGACTTTTTTGACATGGAAATGATTGTTTAAGATTGACAAACATCATATGTGTAGTTCGTGGCACAATTCAAACGGGATCAAAAGATACGTGTTCTCTCTCCATTGAATTCAATGTACATTTTTCGCTTCCGGGGTCCCATGGTCCGGAAGTAGATGGGCGTGACTTCGCCTCTCCATAAGTAGCTTGCGCCACGACGCATGCGCCATTCAAAATAAGCACCTCTTCTCGCTTCACCATAGTAAGGAGGGCCGTCTGGTGAGACATCTCACTTCATGTTACTCTGAGAACTGGGGTTACGTAAGTAACCTATAGTTCTCATTCATAACACTCCGTTCGATGTCTCACTATGGGAAATTGTAGCTCCCGTATTGTCAGACGAGCTTATCTCGAAAATCACCAAACCAACCAGAACTTAACAGGCAGAGCTCTGACTCAACCAGGTGCCCAGCACTGCTTGAGTCACACTGGGAGCAGAACGTCCAGCCTGTTAAGAGGCGGACAAAAGTGAGCGGCGAGGACCAGCTCGCCGCTGCACCAATGTCTTGGATGGGAGACATCCTGGACAGAGCCCAGGATGCAGCCAGACCCTGAGTTGAAAGAGCTCGCGGACCCGAGGGTGCCTGCGAACTCTGACTCGTATGAGCCCCAAAGCAATTGCTTCCACAAACCAGTTTGCTTAGTAACAGGCTTGCCCTTATAAGGGTTAGCCCAGGACACAAGGGGTTGGTCATTATGACAAAGCACCCTTGATCTGTCCCTGTACGTGCGTAAATCACGGGCTGGACACGGCAAATCCGGCCGCTGTTCCCCGGAGGAATACAGTGGCGGGGAGGATGCCTCAATGTCAAATGTGGTACCTGAACCAACCGCCTTAAGATAAAGGCATGGTTGGGCTTCAACCACACTCTGTTTGCCCTGGGGCGAACTGAGTGCATGAAGACTGTACAGATAGTGCATGAGTGCCACTGGCTCGCTCGGCAGCTGCCAGGGTCAGCTTCATGTCACACTGTATTCAGATTGTACCACTCACGGGCCAGGCCCATAGAGCCAAGCGCTCTGGGTGTGGGTGAAAGATCGCCCCCCCCCCCCGCTTGGGACAGTATGTCCCTGCGTAGTGGGAGCTGCCATGGCTGCCCGCACAGCAGCTGATATATCTCCGCTAGCCAGTACATAGCTGGCCAGTGCGGAGCTATCAGGATAAGTGTGTGGCGTTGCTCTCTCACTCTGGCCAGAGTTGGGGGTATCAGAGCCAGGGGTGGGAACGCGTACAGAAGGCCCGGGGGCCAATTGTGCGCGAGTGCATCCACGCCTAACGGTGCATTTAGATCGCGCATCGAAAAGCACAGCTGACACTGAGCGTTGTCTTTCGATGCGAACAGATCCACCGCGGCTCTGCCGTAACGCACCCACAGCTGGCTCACAATCCTTGGATGTAGAGTCCAGTCTGCATAAAGTGGTATACCTCTGGACAGTAGATCTGCCCCGAGGTTCATCACTCCCGGTACGTGCGTCGCTCTCAGAGAGAGGAGACGTCTACCGCTCCATAGGATCAGTTTGCGCGCCAGTGTGTGTAACTGGAGAGAACGCAAACCCCCTTGGCGGTTAATATACGATATTGTGGTCGTATTGTCTGTCCTCACAAGGACGTGATGTCCCCTGAGGAAAGGCAGAAAGCGTTTTAGGGTGAGAAACACCGCTAAAAGCTCCAGGTAATTTATGTGCGCCCGCTGGAGGTCTCTGCTCCAGAGACCCCTCACCGGGCGACCTTCATAAATACCTCCCCAACCTGTCAGACATGCGTCCGTGGTGACCACTTTCCGTGAAAGGACAGCACCCATAGGCACACCTCGTACTAGAAAAGTCGGGTGCAGCCAGTGGCGCAGTGCCATTACGCATTTCACAGTAACCATCACTCTTATGTGATGGGTTTAGTTTTAGGGCGGCCACCCAGCGCTGAAACTCCCTCATGTGTAAGCGTCCCAGTCGTACGACCAGGATGGCTGACGCCATGAGCCCCAGCAATCGCAGGCATGATCTGAAGAGAACATGTTTGCGCAGCTGGAAAAGAGCGAGACAAGCTCTGAAAGCTTTTGATTGATTGATTGATTGAAAAGTTTATTAACAGCTTGTATATTGGGTACAGTACAGTACAGCTCAAAACATACAATTGTTAAGGGGATGCAGACCAGAGAAAGACTTTCGTCTTGTTTACATCAGGGTCCCCCATTTCCAATTCATCATGTCATTTAAGACATATAAGACATATTTAACATACAGATGGCTTATTTACAATTTACATACAGGTGGTTTTTTACATACAGATTGCTTATTTACAATTTTCATTTTAGATTTCGTTCTAATACATCCTAACCGGACATTTAAGACATACCAAGTCTACAGATATACAGTTAGTAACAGAGTCTAAAATGCGAGTATATACATAGATGGGGGGGGGGGGGAAGTTGTCCATTGAACGACAGGTTGAGATTTGTACCATTACCGGGGCCAGTTTTGCAATGCTCTCCCCCGAAGGTGTTCTTTAAGAGAAGTTTTGAAGGTAAGTATAGTTTCACTCTATCCGCTGACAAGCGAGCTGAAAAGGGCACCGAGTTCAGGTGTAAACCCAGGAAGAGTATAGTCTGCGCGGGGCACAACATGCTCTTCTCTGTGTTTATTATGAAACCCAGGTTGAGCAGGTGCTTTACGAGGACATTTGTCTGCGTAACAGCCTCCTGCTCCGACTGTGCGAGAAGCAGCCAGTCGTCCAGGTAGGTCGCCAGGCGAATACCCTGTTGTCTTAACGGGGCTATCGCGGCTTCCGTACATCGTACAAACACCCTTGGACTGAGAGACAGACCGAAGGGGAGTACTCTGTATTCATAACAGATCCCCTGAAATGCGAATCTCAGATATTTCCTGTGTGGGTAATATACTGGGATGTGAAAATACGCATCTTTCAGGTCGACTGATGTAAACCAGTCGTCTTGTCGCACGAGCCGCAGCAGAGATGTGTGAGTGAGCATTCTGAACTTATATCTTTTTAGATATTTGTTCAGAGCCCTCAAATCAAGTATTGGCCGAATTCCGTTACCTCCCCGTTTGGGAACGAGGAAGTACTTGGAATAGAAGCCGCCCTGACTCTGCTCGGCGGGTACAATAGATATAGCCCTCTTTTCTAGGAGAGAGAGAATCTCTCTCTCCAGAATATGGCTGACTCTCCTCGGGCCTGCGAATGCAGAATGCCCGAGAAGCGAGGGGGGGTGACAGCGAATTGGAGTCTGTAGCCCCGTGTTACTGTCTTGAAAACCCAAGCAGATGATGTGAGCATCTTCCACTGCATGCTCCTCAGAGCCAGTGGAGATGTCACGTCTCTTCCCCTCTGAGTCTCTATTTGTTGTGTTATGGGGCCCTCTAGTGTCTGAACACAGTGGTGCCCCTTTTCGACAATCCCCACCGACACTGCGCATGCGCATGACGGTGGTGCCTTCACAACCCCAGCCGGCACTGCGCATGCGCGTGGCGGTGGTGCCTTTAAAGCCCCAGCTGGCACTGCGCATGGCGTGACGGTGGTGCCTTCACAGACCCGCCTGTAATCCGCCTTTTGAGAGATGCCGTAGCTGCTCTCAGAAGGGGAACAGTTGACGGGCTGTTTATTGGTTTTATTGTTTTTCTTATCATTTTTTTGAGCTGCGCCCTCGGCCTGAAGCCTGGATGCGTCAGCGGCAAATGTTTTATGACAGAAAAATCAACAAATTTGTGAGATGTGTTTGTGCGGACTTGAGGATGGTGTTGAGGCATCTCTCGAGGCGGCGGGAACACATTTAGAGCTGGGGAACCGTGGACTTCCAGCTCTGTCACAGAGGGGAGAAGGAGGGGCTGTCACGCCGCTCGCTTCTTCTTCCTCGACTGCTGGCCGAAATTCTGG